CTACCATTGGTAAACACTTTTGAAATTATTGAACACAGATTGAAAGATGTTACTAAGCAAAATATGTTGGCAAAGATAGCAGCTTCATCAAAAGGTAGACTATATCAATATCTTATAGACAGTCATAGTATTCAGTTTTATCTCCGTAAACATATTGAAACAAAATACAAATATATGTTAACTAAATTTAGAACGTCGTCTCATCAACTGAATATCGAAAAGGGTAGACACAATAATATCATTCGCAGAAATAGAAACTGTAGCAAATGTGATTTGGGAGACGTCGAGGACGAATTTCATTTCATTTTTGTATGTCCTTTTTATAATGATTTGAGGTTAAAGTATATAAAGAAGTATTATTATAAGAGTCCCTCTGTGTAACGTAGTCGGATTTTTAGGGGAGGGTCTTGGCGTAATAACGACCGACACAAGATTCTCTTCATAGATGTGTTTAATGATGAGAACATAGACAAAAGTCCCTACAACAAATAAATAGCTATATTCAATACACAGTACCGAAACTAACGCGCCCAACTATACAAACTTGTCCAACTTTTATCTGTAAATAATGTCAAACAGTTGTCAAATCTAGGTAAATATTTATATCTAGCCACTAAGCGGCGAAATTGATTAATTAGCTACGTATTTATATTTTTTGTGCTTTTGTATTATGTTCTTTGTTTAGTTTGCACTTGTATGCTTATAGTCACTCTCCTATAACATATATACATGTACAATGTGTCATGATTAGTTTGTACCTATAAGTCTTAAGACTTTTGGTGAATAAAGAACTTGAGAACTTGATCCACTGCGTCAGCAAAGTACCACAGTGCTAACCACGTGCAGGTGATATATAAGTTTATTTACTATTTTTTTAAAATATTAACTAAATCGTTTTGAATTTATAACGTATTCTTGAACTGATATGAATAGAATACAATTTCCATTAGCAGTAAACATGTCTGAACCATACAAAAGTAAATCAGTAGTCAAACAATCTAAATTCAAATTCCCTAAAAGTTGTCTCCTGAGGGTATTTCTGGCTTCTACATACAATGGACATTCTAAAAGATAATGCTCAACACTTTCTATAGGATAAGAACATATGCATTCAGGTGACTGAATTACATTTATACGTTTGAGGTCAGAGCTCAAGGAACTGCAGTTATACCCGAGTCTTGTATGCAAAACATTGAATTTTCGTTCACCAGTGGAATAAGAATCAGGAGCATATTCTCCTTTAAAAGATATTTTATTTTTAAATGTAGAAAGCGTATTACATGTTCTGATTTGAATATCAAGATTATTCCAAAGTCTTAATGTGCTAGGAATAAACGATTTCTCAAATAAGGTTAATCGACATCTTGTTATCACATAATTATTTTGATTTCGTAAATTGTAATTGCTAACATTAAACACTCTGTTTGGCATTATATCCTGTAAGTAAGAAGGGGTAAGATTATTTTGTATTTTATATAATAATGTTAACTTACGAGTTTTCCGACGATTGCTTAATGTTTTCCACCTAGTTTCGAAATACAAGCTTTGCCTACTTGCAAAAACAGGAAGACCAGTCACAGTTTTAGCCGCTTCTAACTGTATTTTTTTTTAGTTTTTCCGAATCTGTACCATTACATTCATCCCATAGCTCGCAAGCGTATTCCAAAAGAGGTCTTATAAAAACTGCCTACAATTTTGATAATGTTTTCTTATTTAAAATATATTTTACTTACGTAATACTGATATATGTTTTGATGCTGATTTAATAATATTGTCAACATGTACAGA